CAACAAAAGGCTCTCAAGCTGCATCTGCACTTTCTATGATTCACAAATTAAGAAAATGCTCTGCTTCTGGGTGGCTAGAACATGCATAAAAAGTAATAAAAATGGAATTCCCCACCATTTCTGTGTTTGGAGAATAAAATATGCAAGCAATATTCCTAAAGAATAGGCAGTGACTTAGGATTGGGTTGCTCTATTTACAAAGGATAGCGAAGCAAGTTACAAAAGCCCTAAATCTTTTTATTTCCATGCATATAAAATGTCCTACACAAATGTTAAAAAATTAACTGGACGAGTCTAGCAATGCAGATGAAAATTCACTTTTGTTACTCTTAGAATCAAGAGCCGAGTTAGGCAGTGCCGGAGTCACCAAACTAGTGGGTACAGCTACCGCGAAGTTGCGTTGTCTTGATGGCCAGACTCCAGGGCCTCCAAATCCACTTCCTGGCACCCCGGAAGAGCCGACTGATGCAGTGACGCCCATGTTCGGGCAAATAGGCAATACACCAGCAGTTGAGGTAACTATTGAACTGACGCCAGCGGCTCCAGGGGCTAGTGTTACGGTTTGTCCAATGGCCCCAGGTCCAGCGTTAACGGCCCCGCTTCCAGTAGCACACCCAATCCCAGTTGATCCAACAACCCCAGCTAAAGTGACTGATCCTCCGGACGAAGCATTTCCAAGTGCTCCGACTTGGTTGCTAGGTCCTGTGGTCCCCGTGATACCGCCAGGAGACGCGCAAACTCCTAAAGTGCCAGAGCCAGTCCCACTGCCACCACCCGGTCCACCAGAGGCAACTAGAGCCCCAGAAATGGATACTCCAACACCTGTTGCAGTAGTTCCTGTTCCAGCACCAGCTGGCCCGCATGCCTGGCCACAGGCCACTCCACCACTGATGCCCCCTCCACCGCCTCCAGACCCGATACCTCCTTGGCCTGCTACTCCTGAGACGGAGCTGTTGATGGAACTGCCATGAATATTTCCTGAGGTTCCAGTGTTGACAGTAGATTTTCCCGGTAGTGCATTGATGTTCACACTTCCAGTGGCACCGCCAAGCAGCCAAAGTGGGTTAAGACGCTCAATAAAAGTCCAAAACTCCAAGTGACATACGTTTGAAAGAACGTTCTGAACACAAGGAGAGACAAAATATTATTGGTTTGATTTTAAGGCGATTAGACGAAGCAATTTAGGTTATGCATACAATTATGTCAGCCATCAAGTAAAGAAAGACTGAACACACAAGATAACTTCAGATGAGTAAAAAAGGTTAGATAATGTTCAAATACCAAAATATGAATGGTTATATATTTGGTATTACAAAGTTCCAATGAAAATGGCCCGTATTCTTTACTCCTAAACATTTATATCCAAATATTCTACAGGTACGTAAACCTCTTCAAAAGCAAA